AAGACACTAGACAAAAACTCAAATCTGTATAATGAAATAAAGATCTCAAGTAAAGGTAAATGTACTGGCAAATATAAAAGCCTGCATTATTGTACTTCTGTTTTATAACTTCACTTTTTATTTCCTAAGTGATTTAAAAGACAAATGCATACAAATAATTATGTTATTAGGCACACAATATATAAAGATATAATTTGTGTCATCAATAACATAATAGGAAGCAGAGCTTTATAAGAGTAGAGATTTTGTATGCTACTAAAGGTAACTTGGCATCAATCAAATTTAGATTGTTATAAATTTAGGACGTTAACTGTAATACCCATAGTAACCACAAAGAAAACATCTAACAAGTATACACAAAAGGGAATGAGAAGGGAATCAGAATGGTTCACTACAAAGAAATCAACACAAAAAAAGGCAATAAAAGAGAAAATGAAGGACCAAGAAAGTATAAAACATACAGAAATACATAACAAAATGGTAGAAGGAAGTCTTTCTTAAAGAGTTTGGGCCAGGCGTGGTAGCTCATGCCTGTAATCCTAGCATTCTGGGAGGCTGAGGCAGGCAAATCCTTTGAGCTCAGGAGTTCAAAAGAGACCAACCTGAACAAGAGCGAAATCCCATCTCTATTAAAATAGAAAGAAATTAGCTAGACCGGAGGTGGTAGCTCACGCCTGTAATCCTAGCACTCTGGGAAGCCAAGGCAGGCAGATCGCTCAAGGTCAGGGGTTTGAAACCAGCCCAAGCAAGAATGAGACCCTGTCTCTACTAAAAATAGAAAGAAATTAATTGGCCAACTAAAAATATATAGAAAAAATTAGCCAGGCATGGTGGCACATGTCTGTAGTCCCAGCTACTCAGGAGGCTGAGGCAGGAGGATGGCCTGAGCCCAGGAGTTTGAGGTTGCTGTGAGCTAGGCTGACGCCATGCCACTTTAGCCTGGGCATGAGTGAGATTCTGTCTTAAAAAGAAATTAGCTGGACCACTAAAATAAAAATATATATATAAATTAGCCAGGCATGGTAGCACATGCCTGTAGTCCCAGCTACTCAGGAGGCTGAGGCAGGATGACCACTTGAGCCCAGAAGTTTGAGATTGCTGTGAGCTAGGCCAACGCCACAGCACTCTAGCCCAGCAACAAAGTGAGACTGTCTCAAAAGTAAAAAAAAAAAAAAGTTAGGGTTTGACACAATGGACAAAAACCAAACTAAAACATGATCCAGCTATATGTAGGCTGTCTCCAAGAGAGTAGATGGCATACTGTCTACACAAATTGACAGGACAGAAAAAGACATTCCATGCAAATAGCAACCAAAAGAGCAGGAGTAGCTATGCTAATATCTGACAAAACAATATCAAGCCCAAAATTCTTATAAGAAACAAAGGACATTATATATTGATAAGAGGCTCAATTCATCACTATATAATCATTTATGTACCAAACAACAAAGCCACCAAAACACACGAAGCAAACATTGACAATATTAAAGGAATAGTTCTACAAGTCATTGAAAATTTTAATATTCCATTGTCAATAATGGATACAATATCTAGACAAAAGATCAGTAAGGAAAAAGAGAACTTAACACTATAAGCCAATTAGACTTATGAGACATATATAGAACAGTACGCTCAAAAACAGCACAAGCACATTTTTTCAAGTGTATATGGAACATTCCCTAGGATATACCATGTTAGGCCACAAACCAATTCTTAGTAAATCTGAAAAGATTAAAACCAAACTGAGTATATTCTCTGATCACAATAAAGTTAGAAATCAGGAAAAAAAAGGAAAACTGGAAAATTCAAAAGTACATGGAAACTAACACACTCGACATTCAGATCAAACAAGTAATCACAAGAGAAATTAGAAAATAATGACTTGCTTTAGCAATTCCACTCAATACATATACCCCAAAGAATTTAAAAACAGGGACCAAACCACATATTTGTTGTCAATGTTCATTGCAACATTACTTACAATAGCCAAAAGGTAGAAATACCCCAAGTGTTCAACAGATGAATGGATATACAAAAGGGGGTATGTATATACAATGAAATATGATTTAGTAATAAAAAGGAACTAAATTCTGATACATACTACAACACTGGTGAATCCTGAAAACATATGCTAAATGAATAAAGCAGACATAAAAAGATGAATATTGCATGATTCCATCTATAAAAAGTATCTATAATAGAATAAGCAAATTAATAGAGACAAATTAGATATTACCTTGGGCTTGGCGGGAGGAATGGGATTATTGCTTAATGTTTACAGAGTTTCTGTTTCGGGTGATGAAAAGGTTTTGAAAATACTGGTAATAAATACCTAACACTGTGAATATAATTATTACCTCTAAATTGTTCATTTAAAATGGTTAAAATGGCAAATTTTGTTATATACATCCTACCACAATAAAAAAGTTTTATAATATGTACATTTAAAGTATTAAGATTTGATTTCTGGGGAAAAATTCACAAGAATTTTAAAGAGTAAAAAACATGACTCTTTAGGTGTTTTTGCGCACCTATGCTTATGAGCTGATCATACATTTGCACAGCTTCAGATCTTAAAATGTATTCATATACCATTCTATCAAGAAGGTGGAAGTGTGTTTATCAAGGTAGAAAAAGAACAAGTTTCTAAGAGAAGAAAAATATAGAAAATAGCCTCTTAATAAAAATCTTTTATTTTGAGAGGCGATCTCAGCAAATAACCTGAATGAAAGATGGCATGTCTACTGCTTGTTCAAAGTAGTGAGATTGATGTGTAACCACCACTAGTGAAAAAGATCATGGAAGCAGCTGAATGTTGCAGTCTGGCAGATACAACCTTACCCTCCGAGAGGGAGATTACAAACCTCTAATCTAGAGACTCTGACCAAACCAAGATGTTCACGTGAAGGTGGGGACTCCAAAAAAAGCCCATCCAGATAACCCTAAAGACAACCCCTTCCCACAAATCCAAGGCTTTCCAAGCTTTTCAGTCCTCCATTCAACCATAAGACAGCCAAGAATTACCAGATGTCCAGGAAAAGCCTAAAATATAGAAAACAAAAATATATACACACAGAAAGAAGAAATTTGGAAAAAACAGATACATAAAGAAATAATTTCAAAAGAAAAAAATATAAAAACTATAAATACTTTTAGTTGTAAGAGAACAAATCCACATAGAAAAAAGCATAAAGAGCGTACTATATAATAAACTTTCACAAATCAAAAAGGCTTAAGATTTTAAAATATAATAGCAAAGAAGAGTTGGAGATTGAGTGAAAAAGCTAAAAATCAAAGGGGTAAGACAATAGATACGGAGTCCTGGATATCCATCATCTAAATACTAGTTTCAGAAAGCAGAGGAGACTAAGTCAGTGAATGCTCGATTTCCCAGAACTGACAAAATGAGTTACACTGTAAGGGCTCACCAAAAGCTCAAAACAATGGATAAATACAGACCCATACCACACCAAGACACATCACCATGAAATTTATACAAGGAGCAGAAATAAAATGGCTTTGGATTTCTCAATACACCACTGGAAACAAGAAGACAGTGGAGTAACACCACCTTTAAATTCTGAAGGAAAATTATTCCCCATTTAAAACTCTCTAAAATTATCCATCAAATGTGATAGACATACAAGTTCTCAGAAGTTTTACCTCCACACACTCTCTCTAGAAGGTACCAATGAAACAAATTAGTAACCAATAAAATGAAAAACATGGAATCCAGAGCACAGGAAAAGTTCCAGGATAGCTAGGTACTAGAAGGTAGAGCTGAGCATAATTCAGTTAGGTAGACGTTTGCCCTCCTCACATGCAAACTGGAACCACTCTTTTCACCCTGAGGAACAGCATGCCCCAGTTGAGTCTGAACCAAATTACATGTATGCTTCAGCTGCATGGATTAGTAAGGACACTCATAGCAACCCAGAGAGGTATTCTTTTGTGACTTACTACCAAGAGCTGCAGTTTGACTCATCATGTTTTGAACATTCTACCAGGTATCACTTACCCAGAGCACACTATAACCCTGCCAGATAGACGGTCTATGGTGAGCATTCTCTTTAGCAGAACTCATACATAACCTTAGCCATGATCTTTCTCAAAAGTGGTTACTATAAACTCCCAGGGAAGGTGAATCCAGACTATGACTCTCTGAGACTGTGAAGCTTTCATGTAATAATGGCAATATCACCCTTTTGTATTTGCTTACAGGTTTTTCAAAACTAAATATATAGTTTAAGACTAAATATGTAGGCAATAAACTAAAAGAAATACAAAGGAATTATTAACACAAAGTCAGGATAGCATCTACATCTGAAAGAAGGAAGGGACACAATTGGAGACACACAGCAGTCTTCTTAGATTTCAATAAATGTTCTATTTCATAACCTGGTGGTGGGTGCATGAATGTTCATTTTATTATTCTTTAAATCATACTGTTCTGTATTTACAATTTCATAATTCAAAGAAACTACTCCCCTTGCCCAGATTCCATGTTGAATGAAGAACATTCTGGTGATGCTTTGACTTTTATAGCAACTTTGCCTCCAGTAAGGGAATGGACATCAGACCATTTGGCATGTATATTTCTCTTTTTAGAATAATAAACTGGCATGCAAATGTTATTTTTTTAAAAAATACTAATAAAACAATGAATGCTTAGCTCATTTAATGACTATGTTCTTTATTTTCTTTTTTGTTTTTGTTTTTTTTTTGAGACAGAGTCTCGCTTTGTTGCCCAGGCTAGAGTAAGTGCCGTGGTGTCAGCCTAGCTCACAGCAACCTCAAACGCCTGGGCTCAAGTGATCCTTCTGCCTCAGCCTCCCAAGTAGCTGGGACTACAGGCATGCACCACCATGTCCGGCTAATTTTTTCTATATGTATTAGTTGGCCAATTAAATTTCTTTCTATTTATAGTAGAGACAGGGTCTCACTCTTGCTCAGGCTGGTTTCGAACTCCTGACCTCGATCAATCTGCCCACCTCGGCCTCCCAGAGTGCTAGTATTGCAGGCGTGAGCCACCGCGCCCGGCCATAATGACTATGTTCTTATAAATGAAATTAAACTGGTCTCAAAATAAATCCTCTCAGAGTCAAATATATCCTCTGCAAGGAACCAAATTCATTTTCAAATCAGGAGTTCTTTGACGCTTGAATTTCTTCCCATATTTCAGCTTCAATTTTTGAAGTATCATATTCCCTCATCATATCAAACTCAAGCCATGGCTGACTCCACTTCTGAGCTTCTTTCATTTGTTCCTCAGTCAAATGAAGATCAAATCTGATTCCTTTAATATTAAATTTTGGACGTTCCCATCGTTTGGACCAGGGCCTAGGCTTCATTTTGACTTTCAGCTAAGGAAGACACAAAAAAAAAAAAAAAAAAAAAAAAGGAATTAGGCTGATTGACATAAGCAAAAATTCTTCTAAAGTTTTCATTAAGATGATTCTTTCTTATTTTACACTTCAACTTCCAGTTTCAAACATACAACCCATACCTTATTAACAGGGACTTCTTGGCCAGGCTCTAGTGACACTGGCTTCATATTCACATCAAAAGTGCTATATTCAGGAAGGGCATCTCTTAAGTACAGCAAACGATCATCCAGCCGTTTCTCTAATTTGACCACTTGGATTTCCTGAACTCGAGGATTATAAAGTTCAAAGCAAATCTCAATACCTGAAAAGAAGAGAAAACATATTCTTACAAAGTCCAGATTCTTATACATACCTCAAACTACAATAGAAGCATTTCAAATATCGCATAAGGTTTTGAATGTAGGAAATGTGACATAAAATCGTCATGTTTTAAGATGAAGATTGTGGAAAGAAATAGAAATAAACTAAAGTCCATTTAAATAAGACGACAGTCTGAATTATTAATAGAATGATAGTCTAAAGAAAAAAATGTCTTCTATTAATATATTGAGTCACATATCTCCTCAATCTTGGCAGTATATTAACTTAAAGAAAGTCTGAGTAAATTCTTCACTATGCCATGTTCTTATTTATCTCCCAATTACTTGAATAAAGATCAATCTTCCATCCATGTTAAGAATAATAGGATTAATGACTGAAAAAGAGTAAGTAAGATTTTAAGTTCCAACTTCGGTTAGAAGTTCCTCTTTAAGGATTGTCTAGGTTTTTTAACACACTAGGCCCTTTGCATGAGGCAAGCTAGGAAACAGCTTTGAGTACAACACGATGCTATAAGCAACAGTTTAATATAATCTATATTATCAAATACTTAAAGAGTGTATTCTGAAGTTTTCTGGAATAATCCCAAGAGAAATACAAATATGATTTATATGATCAACATCAGCTTCTAGTATTTAATATCAGGATCCAATTAAGTAGGTACTATATACCTATTCTGTTCCAGGCACTGATCTAGAGAAGCTGGGCCTAAAGCAAAACCAAAATAGGTAAGATCCTTCTCCTCTTATAGCGCTTACACAGTAGTGGATGACAAACCAACAAGGTAATTTCATACAGTTAAGGCAATATAGGGTGGAAAAACTGCAAAGAGGGTGAGGACAACTTTAAATAAGTATAGTCAGAGAAAGCCTCTTTGAAAGAGCCAAGAATGCTAGGGGCAGAAAGAATAGCATATGCAAAGGCCCTGGGGTGTTAACAAACTTGTCATGTTGGAAAAACCAGGGAAAGGCCCATTTGGCTGGACCACAGTAACTCAGTGGGCCAGGTGCTACTATTTGAATGTGTCCCCTTCCAACATTCATGTTGAAACTTAATCCCCACTGTGGTGGTATATTAATTAAGAGGTGGGGCCTTTGAAGAAGTGATTAAGTCATTAAGGGCTCTGCCTCTGCAAACTGTTACAAAACCTCTCTCCAACACTTTCACAAGGATTGGAGAAAACTAGTTTAGGCTCTTTTGTCTTCACCATGTAAGGACACAGAGCTCATCCCCTCCAGAGGATATAGCAACAAGGCACCATCTTGGAAGCAGGAACAGGGTCCTTACCAAACACCAAACCTGCCAACACCTGGATCTTGGACTTCCCAGCCTCCAGAACTATGAGAAATAAAGTTCTGTTCTTTATAAATTATCCAGTCTGTGGGATTTTGTTATAGCAGCACAAATGGACAAAGACAATAAAAATATAAACCAGAGATACTGTATAAGTGTAGGCAGGAGATGATGGTAACACAGATGAGTGTGGAAAAAATAGAAAAAGAGGAACAGACAAAATTGGGATATATTTTTTGAAAATTGAGCCAAGAAAACTTGTTGACTGACTAAAAGTGTGAAAGGAAATAAAAATAGTTGCTAGTTTGTAGATTAAATAAGTGGGTGGGCAGTGGTACCCTTTATAAAAATAGAAAAGACTATGAAAGGAACACCCTGTGAGGTGAAATAGAGGGATCTGTTTTCAACTTGTTTTCTGCTAATAAGACATCCAAATAGAGATGTTGATGAGGTAGCTGTGTGTACAAATCTGAAACTTGAAAAGGATCAGTCCTAGAGATATAAATTTGGGAGTTATCATTACACGGATGGTATACAAAGCCACTGGATGAGAAGGTACCAATAAAGTAGGGAGTATCGATGGGGAAGGCTGAGGAAGGTTATAACACTCAAACATACTAGAGAATGGCAAAAGAAAGCTAATACGTTTTAAATATTCTATATCCAGTACTTCATGTACAACATGCCACAGTTTTTTGACTAGAACGCTGTGACATAGATTATTAACATCTCAATTTTAAAGAAAATCAAACCCAGGTCCATCTGACTCACACTTATGCTCATTTCTTTCTATTACACGGCTTCTCCAAGTACTCAATATGATTGAAGGCACAAGTTTCTGTAATCAATCAAGTCCTGTTAAGTTCCCACATGCACAGCACCACAGGTCATTACAGAATAAGATAGCAACTGCTCTTACATTTTCAATTTCTTTGAAAATAATAATACTTCACTGTAGGGACTCATGAAGCATACAACTTTAAGTACAAAAACTTTACTGTTCCTGCCATTTTAATTCATAATCTTTCTAGAATTTTACTACTTGTTTCTCTGCTTTATTATGCATAGTATACAAACATAATTTTGTCTTTTTTTAAATCTTCTAAGTCTTATAAAACAGTGATAATTTTGGTGATAGTTCCATGTCATAATATAAAGCAATATATAGGCATTTATTTCAGGAGCAAGTAACTCATAAGCACATCTTTATGTTTGTCTTAATGGTCTCATGGATTATTAGCTCCTAAAATGAACGTCCCTGCACTGCTTTATGGTCACTTATTTCCTCCCTTGACATGGCCATGGTTTGGAAAGTCTACTTCTAATGGTTGTTGTCCCTGTGATGCAAGAAGCCTTCAAGAGAAAGTAGACCACCAACTGAATTTAATTCATTATCTCACTTCTCAATCCATTCTAAGCCACAGGCTCCGTGTCTTCCCTTGGAGCTCCCTTTCACTTTCAGATTTCTTATCACAAGATGCAGAAAACAAAAAAGAATCCTGAGATAACATTTTTTAGACAATCAGAATAATGAAATGAAACTCACCCTGTCCTTCAATAGTATTTCTAAGGATAAAAGTAGCTCCTAGGCCTGATCCTGATCTCTGGATGCAAATCCCTAGAAATTGGCTGGTTTTTCCACTGGCATATAGGTCAGCTGTAGTAACACGAAGTATGCTTCCTAAAAATTCAAAAGAGAAGTGAATATAAGATGCAGAAAAAAATAACATTTCTAGGTAACTTCTGAACTTCCTAAATATTTTAATATAATATTAGCAATAAGTACCTCATATGGGCAAAACCCAGCTATGTGAAAAATAATCTCTATGCAAAGAAAACTAACCCTCCAACCACTAATAATAATAGTATCCAGCTGTTACTGACCAACATAGAACTCTGGAATGTGGAGTACTTTTCTCCTTTCTAACATTTCTTTTCTTTCTAGTTTAAATTTCAGAGGATCTGTTCTTCCCCTTGGAGGAATGAATTCAGGACTCAAAAACCTGTGAAAAATAGAAACAAACAACAAAAAAATTAAAAGTAAACTTAAAAGGCCACTAGAAGAAAAACTGTTGCTTTACAAAGAAACAAAAGAATATGGTGTTAATGTGCTTTACTTTTCATTGCTTAGATAAGAAAAGTGTATTTTATTTTTGAAATTGTTAATGCTCATGAAAATAGTCAACAGTTCCTGAGTACTCACCTGGTATTTTGTTTAAAACTTTATTAAACATCTAAAGCATAAACTAATGGGTGGGTTTGGTGTCATCATTTCCTTTTTACAGAAGAAGAAACTGAAGCTTGGAAGGTAAATAACTAATCCATTATTATACTAGCTATAAATCTGTCAAGTTAAGATTGAAATGTAGGCATGCCCAGTCTTCAAAGCCTCTGGCCTCACACTGAGCTATGTATGTTACAATAAATTATGCTGGAAAAGATATAAAATGTATAAATCACCAATTGTAAACTGACTTTTAAAATTATCTTCTTTTTCTTGTTTAACTGATTTTTAAACCCATTAGGAAATAGTTAATCTACATAAAAAGTATAAATGACATTACAATGATTACTTATGTCCCTACCGCCCACCTCAAGAAATAAATTATCAATATAGTTGAAGCCACTGTGCATCCCTCCCTACTTCCTATAGTTAATTACTATCCTAAATTTGGTGATCATTCCCATGAATTTCTTCTATTTCCTCCATTTTCTACTCTGAAAATTTTCAAAACCTACCAAAAAATGAAATAGTAATACAATAAACACCCAAATATCCACCTACTTTTACCAACTGCTAAAATTTTGCTATGTTTGCTTTATATTAATATATACATGTTACTTTTTTCCCTGGACCATTTGAAAATATCAAATAGCAAGGCATTTCATCTGATAATGTAGAAGGTTTATGCTAAGAACATGGAATTCCTCCTAGATAATCACAGTACCTTTATAACACCTAAAAAAATGAGCATTAATTCAATGAGATAATCTAATATACAATTCATATTGAAATGTATCTAATTATCTTAGAAAGGTCTTTTATATTTATTTGTTGCTGAATCCAACATATGATCAAGTTTCACACATTGTATCTGGTTGTTAGTCTCTTAAACTAGTATTACTCCCCATTTTTGTATTTTTATAACATTGGCTTTTTTGAATAGTCAAGGCCTATTATCTTATAGACAATCTCTATTATGGATTTATTATTTCCACATGCCTAGACTGAGGTTAAACATTTTAATTTCTGTATGGCAAAGGATAAAAAGAGGGAAGGAGGGCCTAAGGTTAGAGTAAAGGAGAAAGGCACAAAAAGTTGAGTAGGACGGCAAAGAATGGTCTCTGTCCCATTGAGCGACGGTTGCCACTGGTACAGAGCCAGGGCAAGGACGCAATCAAGAGTTTTCTCTCAGCACCAGCTACCAAATCCTGACCCCACTGCATAGGGGAGGACCTGTGAAAGTGCTAGGAAGTTAAACATTTTTGATAGAAATATTACAGAGGTGATGTTATAAACTTCTTACTCTGTCATATCAGGAGGCATATAACAATATCAGCTTGTACCACTATTGGTAAAGTTAGGTTTGACTGCTTGGTGAAGGTGAAGATGTCCCTCTTACATTTTCTTTATAATTTTTTCATATGGATGCATGTCTGGACAACATATAATATTTAGTATAGTTTTAAACTTCAAAAAAATGGCATCATACCATATCAACTCTTCTAAAGATTGCTTTTTTACACATCATATTCATGATATTCATCCATGTTTAAAAATTGGCTCTAGTTCATTTACCTGTCACTGCTTAATAATATTCTGTTACATGAATGTATTTGACTATTCACCTACTGTGGATATCTAAGCTGCCTCTAAATTTTCGTTTGTTGCAAACAATACTGTTAGGTTCATTCTTGTATGTGTCCCCTTGAACATACGTGTTAGTTTAAGTTACAGTTTAAGTTGTTTACCTTCAGGGTGGAAAGGTACATACATACAAACTTAATTTTGCCAAATTGTTTTCCAGAACATATAATGTACATTCCTATTTAACTGACCTTTATTAAATACTGCCCTTTGATAGAAATATTCCATTTCCACTTAAAAAAAAAAGTTTTATAAGAAAACCTTTTCTGAATCTCTAGGTTCCCTAAATCCAAGTTTATTTCAATTTAAAACCACAGAATATTTAAAATGTTTTTAAAATCCCAGAGACAATACAATCAACAACCTACAGCCTTTTCAGAAAGCCTATAATCACACCAAGTTTTTCCTCTTAAAAAGGTTTTTTTTAAAAAAGGTTATAACACAACTTTATAGAAACACTTTCTTCAAATCTTAGGTCAATTAAATGTACACGTACCTTCAAGCTTACCACCATTCATTTAAGTGAACCAAGTTTTTACTCACACTGTTTTGAAGAGTAAATTTCAAACACAATTTAGTGGTGATTTTTACCACTGTATCACCTCTGCCTGCAATTCCCGCCGAAAACATGGTAAGTTTTGGTCAACCGATTCCTACGCCGGGTTAAGGGTCTTTTGCGAGAAAAAAACGGTTCTTGAACTTAAACAGGTATAAATATAGGATATGCTTCAGAGAAAAACTCAGGTATAGAACAAACACCAGGAAAGAGCTTAAAATCTGGGGAATCCCTACTTTCAGGGACTTAATAATAATTGCAAAGAAGCACAATGCTAGCTTGGGGAATGGGTGCCTTTTACATACGCGGGCTCCTGAATCTCACACACAAGGTTGTTCAGCGGCAGTTCCAGCCCCCAGTTTAGAGCCGGGACCTCTAACGCGAACGCGTGCACGCGCGCACTGACCCAGGTAGCCAGCGTTGCGCGCAGGTCCGGGCCTCACCTGGTTTCCTGGCCCGGCGGGCGACGCTTGTCCACGATAACCGGTTTCGGTGGCGGCTGGAACGCGCCAGGCTCGGAAGGCCCAGTGCTGTGCTGCCGGCCGGGCCCGGCACGGACCCCTGCGGGAGCGGACGACAGAGGTCACGACTCTCGGCACCCCCCGCCCCGAGATGCTGCAGAGCCCTGCAACCTCCCCCAACCCGCCGTCCCACGGGGAACCAACGCCGGGGTCGCCTCTGACCTCCAGGCTCACCTCCCGCCAGCCTGGCCCTTGCAAGCCCCTCCTGCCCCCCAGCTCGCAAGCCCCGCTCCACTTACGGCAGACAACGGAGGGCGACGCGGGGAGCAGCGTCCTGGCGGCTCGAAAACTCCCGGCCAGGTTCATCGCGGCTACGTAGCTTCCTACCATGCAGGCCGCCATGCCTGCTCGCTGAGGTCGGGACTACAACTCCCAGTAATCAGTGCGACGAAGCGGGGTCAGATGGCGTCTGCAGTGGGACAAAATAGACAAGTCTCTCTGCTCCTTTCCTAGAAGTCTTAGGAAAAGTGTAAATTTCTGTAGTTCCCCATAATGTGCCAAGTTACAACACTCTGCAGGGATGTTCTCCCAGCCCAAGAAGCTCTTTCTTACCCCTCTGAATCTATCTTACTCTACTTTCTCAGCAAGCTTTCCCTACGCCAAAACCCCATTACGTAGGCCGGGCGCGGTGGCTCACACCTGGATCCTAGCACTCTGGGAGGCCGAGGCGGGAGGATTGCTCGAGGTCAAGAGTTCGAAACCAGAGGCTGAGCAAGAGCGATGGCCCGTCTCTACCATAAATAGAAAGAAATTAACTGGCCAACTGATATATATACAAAAAATTAGCCGGGTGTGGTGGCACATGTCTGTAGTCCCAGCTACCCGGGAGGCTGAGGCAGGAGGATTGCTTGAGCCCAGGAGTTTGAGGTTGCTGTGAGCTAGGCTGACGCCAGGGCACTCACTCTAGCCTGGGCAACAAAGTGAGACTCTGTCTCAAAAAAAACCCATTACAGGCTCTCATTCCTACTAGGTACCTTTCATTACCAGTTTTTATCTCATTCGCAAGTTTTTCTTATTTGTGTAATTATTAGATTAGTACCTAATTCTGCCATTATACTGTCAGCTCCATCAGAGAAGGGACAAAGTTTCGTCTTCTGCTCACCGTTTTATCCCAGCACCTAACACCTACCTGGCCCTCCCTGTTTGTTGAATGCATGGAAAGGAGGAAAAGAAAAAAAAAGTTCCTTACAGAACTACTAGCACACAGTCTCTGAAACTACGGAAAGCCTTGCCCTTTGAGGAACTAAAATTGAATTTGAACAGGGCGATTTGAGCTGTGGGTGGGGATAGGTGGAAGAGATGAAGCTGAAAAAGGTAAAGTGTAAGTCTTGTTAAGAAATTTGGAATTTGCCGTGTTGGCAAATGGTAACATACTGGAAGGATTTAGCAGTTAAGAGAAATGTGATTATTTAATTACTTATTAGTCATTCCAGTTCAATTAATGTCCCAAAGCTACCTCAAATTCAACATGTCCATACTGAGTGATCATGTTCCTTTCCAGACTTCTTCCCCAGGACTGGCTGTCCAAGGAAGGGCTTCAACATCCACTCTGTTGCCTAAGCCAAAAATCTCAGTGCCATCCTTGATTCCTCCCTGTCTCTACCTGGATAAAAATCCTAACACTAATGCCTGGCCTCACCAAATAGCTCAAGAATCCTCATACTTTCTCATCCTCCTATCCATATTTCTAATGCAAGCCAGCATTCTTTCTCCTCAGGATCACTGCAACTGCCATCTCATTAGTCTTCATGCCTCTAGTTACCTCTAGTCTTTCTCCACCCAGCAATCAAAAAACATGGCTTAGAAATGCATACCTGGTCCTTGTCTTTTTCCAGTTTTATTTATTTATTTTTATTTTTACAGTTGCCAGATGTCCCCAAGTGTACTTTTTCCAGTTTTAAAGCATTCCATAATTTACTGTTGACCCTGGGGTAAAAATCAAAATCTCAAAAAAGCAACCAACCTTGGCAGCCTGCCCCACACTCTACCTTGCTATCCTAAATATGTATGAACTGTTAGATCCGCTTGAAAAAGAGGGCCATGTTCTGAGCACAGAACTCAAAGTGCTGTGAGGAAAGACAGGGCCTTCTATTTTAACTCCACCTTCCTTGATTAGAACAAGAATTTGCCCTATAAATCACAAGGAATCCCACAACCAAAGTTTCAGGTTAGCAAAATTTTAGTTCTTCTGCCCACCCAAACAGTAGATGTCAAACCATAAAGGAAAAGGAAAAGGGAAGAGAGACAAAGATAATTGTGACTGGTAGTGATGAGTATTTTACTGTATTAACTAAGCCCAGAACACTTGGCCTTCACTCTTGCTAGGATTAGTCCTATGGGTAGGGGCAGAGAAATAAAAGACAGACCTTCACAGGAAGAGGCCAGGACTTACTAAACATTTCCAAGCCATTCCTGCTGTGTCTACCTCCTTCTAAAGATAAAGGAATGGTTTTGTAGAGAGTTAAAATACTGGAAGAATGAGCCTAAATAATCTTATTTAATTCATTCCTATATTCCTGCTCACCCAGCATCCAACAGGTCATTCTGACCTTATTTTAATGTGAAGAACAAGTTGGGGTTTTACTTATTCCATCAAACAACTTAGCAGAACAAAATCAAAGAACACAGAGCTAACTCAACCATTTTATGAGCTGATTATAGGAATAGAACTTTAATTATATACATCTGTATTTTACACCCATAGAAAGGAGAGTATGAACATCATTACATGGTGCTCAGCCAAGGGAAGAAAGTGTTCCAGGCAAACTCTCTGCTTCAGGTTATCGTGACATCAGGATTCTTGTCTGATTTGCTCATTATTATTAATACATCCTCTATGTCTAGTAGAGTATCTGGCACCCAATAAATATTTCCAACTAAAATTAGGAACATCACTCTGATTACACTTTAGAAAATGAGTAGGAAGCAGGAAACCATTGGAATATTCCAAAAGAGAGATGTTGCTGACCTGGAGAGAAAAAAAAATGTTTTTCCCGAAAGTGTAGTTCCTTGACCAGCAAAGTCAGTCCCACCAGGGAATATGTTACAAATACAAATTCTAAGATCCCCACTTCCAGACGTATTGAATCAGAAATTTTGGGGATAGAGCCTGGAAATCTGTGCTTTAACAACCCCTCCAGCTGGTTCTGATAGTGTTCCTGTTTGAGAACAATTGAGGTAAAGCAACAGAGAAAAAATAAAAGTGGCTAAGAGATCTATCTGTGAGGTAGAGTCAGCCAGAACAAAGGTCTGAAATATACTAGCTGTGAAACTTTCAGAGAGGTTCTTCTCTCTGCCTTAGTTTCTTTATTGGTAATAGAATGTAATTATACCTACCTCATTGAGTTGTTATAAGGGTTAAATTGAGATTAAGCATAAATAGAGTTTTTGGACAGATGTGTGGATCATAATAAATTCTTTCTCCCAGCTTTACTGGGATGTGATTGGAAAATAAAAATTGTATGTATTTAAGGTGTACAACATGATTTGATACGCATATACATTGTGAAATAATTGCTACAGTTGAGCTAACTAACGTATCCATCACCTCATTTTTTAAAAAACCCTTTTTTGTGGAAAGGTGCAATGACTCACATCTGTAGTCCCAGATTCTTGGGAGGGTAAAGTGGGAGGATTGCTTGAGACCAGGAAGTTGGGTTCCAGTGAGTATGATCGGGTCGATAGGATCACTGCACTCCAGCCTGACAGAGTGAGACCCCTGTCTCTAAATAAATAAATAAATACATTTTAAAAAGGAGACTGTAACTAGTATTAACACATCCAAAGCAACAGTCTCCCATTCCAAAGAAGTGTTCGTCATCATGGTAGTCTAGAAAACCGGACTTACAACATGAAAAGTTGGTGAGTGACCCTGCACTGCAGGAAAGGAAGAAGACTTAGCCAAATGTAATAATTTGGGGAATTCCTAGGCCCACTGATAAGTTCATCCAGGGGAAGAGAGAAACACAGTGACTTGCCAACAGTTGTCAAGTTGTGTGATTTCACTGATGAAATTATCCCTAGTATGAGCCTTAGCCTGTGCCAATAAACACTTGAAACCTGTGTTAAACTGCCTTTGTTCTGTGTTTATCAAGCAACCCCCTCATTATTTAACATTAAATTTTGTTCAGAGAGAGAAAGTACTGAACACAGAGATGTAAATGTTGTGATATTCTGGTAAGCATGATTTTTTTTGTTTAATTATAAATTAATAAATCAGCATTTTTTTTCTTTTATTTTTTTTTTCCTGATGAACATGGCATTTAAAGCATTTGGTTTTGTTATATCTGTTTTATAAATCCGGTTCATGTGAGCCTGCCCTAAAAGAGGAATCTATTTCATACTGTGTTGATAAATCAGGTTCCAAGCTCCCAAAGCCAAAGGGCAGACCCAGGGCCATGACCAATCCTCCAAAATGAAAAATATTACATGTGAGGCCTTGAGGTATATATTCTGCTTGGATAAAAGACCTTGATATTGCCTCATAAGTACCCCCCCACACACACACACACAAACACATACACACACCTTTATTAGCTATATTTTGCTTTTTAGTAAATTGCTCCTAAATTTAGCAGCTTAAAAAAGCAAACATTTATTATTGTGTGGTTCTGTGGGCCAGAAATTCAAAAGTATCTTAGCTGAGTGATTCTCCTTCCAGGTCTTTCACAACACTGCAATCACAATGCTGGCTGGGGCCATATTCATCTCAAGGCTCAACTGAGAGAAAATCTGCTTCCTAGCTCATTCATTCATTCTTGTGGCTAGAGGTGGCCCTCAAGTCCTTGATGGCTGTTGGCTGGTAACATTGGTTCCTTGTCACATGCACCTTTCCTTGCTATGTTGCCCAGGCTGGACTTGAACTCCTGGCTCAAGCAGTACTCCTGCTTCAGCCTTCTGAGTAGCTGAGACCACAGGCATGTGCCGCCACATGCAGATCCCAGCTGTCTTATTCTAGGTTCTCTCCTGCAAACATCTCCTGTACCTTGAACCTCCTCCCACTTGTCTTTTACCACAATCTCCACTATTCTTGATGGCACTTTTAGGCTTGAACATCTCTCTCTCTCTCTCTCTCTCTCTCTCTCTCTTTTGAAAATGAAGTCAGTTCCTTTGGGAAGAGATAAGGAACTATATGTTTTATGGCCTATTTCTCTACCCAGGCAAAATCCTAGTCCAACAAGGCTCTGGAGCTGGCGTGAGAACAGTGATGTGCTTATTTCTGAATGAAAACCCTGTTCTAGAAGCTGAGCACGTGGTGAAGGAAGAGCAGCAGCCTCAGGTCTTCTTGGCTTGCCTCTCCTGGTATGGAACCATCACCCCACCAGCCAAGGCAAGAGTGATTAGAGCCCCAGTATCTT